AAAAAAAAAAATAAAAAAAATAACCATACCAAACCAAAAAACCCAAACAAAATCAAAATATTTAAAATTAACCATAAAAAGTTGTCTATTTCTTCCCCTTCTTCAACAAAAGAATTAATATCCTTTATCAATTAAGTAAATTATTATTACAAATCTCCTATATACATTTACAAATAAGCATTTTTTTCAATTTACTTGATTCAGATATTCGCAGACTACTATTTCATGGTGGAGTGTTGGCCTTCTATAGTTTGCATTTTTTCGCATCTCTTTCTTTCTTTTTGCTTTTACTTTTCTAGTATGATTATTTGGGACAATGAACGATAATTATAAAATAAAAATAACTAATACAATATTCATGTATCATACATTGTTTCCATTATTTGACAGGCTCGCACTATACGAGCGCATCATCCTAGTGTATCCTACACTAGTACAACACCCGTGGAACGAATTTCATTATAAATTAGAACATGGTGTTAGAATCTCATTATGATTCACTCGAAGATTTTGGAGTGTGAATAAATTTGTTACGTTGTATTCGCCAAAAAGTTGAAAAAAATGTTAAATCAATTATCAAATAAAAGATATAACAAACATTAATTTAGATATGGTCTTAGTTAACTCAATTATTAAATAAAAGAATATAAAAAAATTAATTATCAAATAAAACATTGCGAGCTCAATTATCACATTAAAAAACATTGTTAACTCGGCATTGATCCACTATCAACTAAAAGACAAATAATACAAATTTAATTGAAGATTTAGGAGTGTGCAGAACTTTTTACCATATACTAGTACAGAGCTCGTGCGATGCACGGTGTGCACAATTTTAAGGTCATTTATCTATTTTTATAATTATATAAATGAATAAAAAAAATATACGGGATATATATAGTACGTAACTTGTAATAGGCCAAAATGTGAACACGGGTGATGCACGGGGTGCACAATTTAAGGTCATTTATTAGTATAGAGCCCGTGCGATGCACGGGGTGTACAATTTTCTAGTATGTGTAATAAAAATACATACCGTATGCACAAGACAGAAGCATTAAATGAGTCATTTCCACAGAGCTTGCCCGTTAAGTAGCTCCTGAACACGGGTGCACAATTTGTAGTACGATAAAATCAGAACAGATTTCCATACAATTAGATAATAAATTAGATAATAAATAAACCCTTTTTTATTTTAGTAAAGATTTTACGTACTTTTTTTTTTACTTATCGGATGTTATGAGATTTTTTTTGTTAAACTGATTTTATGGAATATAATACAAATACAATTAGAGGATTGAACAAAATCAGAACAGATTTTCATACGATTAGATAATAAAAAGGAATTAGATAAGGAAAAGAAGGAATTAGATAAGAAAAAGAAGGAATTAGATAAGAAAATTTGAATCTGACTTTTTTTTGGATAGATAGACTTTACGTACAAATTTAGACTTCACTGATTTTATGGGATTAATTTTGACAAAATCGATGTTACTATTGAATAAGACAAATAAATAAAGTCTTTTTAATTTAGTAAAGATTCTACTTTTTTTTTTGGCATGTCAGATGTTATGGGATTTTTTTTTCTTAAACTGATTTTATGGGATATAAGACAAATAAATAAAATAATTAAATAAAATTCTGGAGAGAAATAGCAATGCATTAATTACGTTGCCTTTTCAATCTACTAATTTGGTAAATAGGATACCTTATATAATAAGTATAGATACAAATAAATAACATGCCAAAATTTTAAAGAATAATTAATGTATTTTAATTTATTATCTAGCCATCAGTAATATCATTTAATGATGTGATCATTATCTCTTAAATGATAAATAAAATATTAATTTAAAATAAATATTTGTTTTTTATATACTCAAATAAAAATTAAAAAATACTATCGACAAATATGAATTATAATATATATCAGTAAAATCATTGCAGAAGTTAATAAAATTATTTAAGAAAAGAAGCTTTTTGATCATATTTGAATATGAAATGTATATATGCAAGCAATTAATGCATATAGTAAAAAAAAAATCTAAATAAAGTATGTATTAAATGTGAGTTGACTTTTTTTGCTACTATTTTTGGTAAATAGTATGACTTTTAATATAAGTATAGATAATATTAATTTTTTTAAAAAAAATATTAGTGTTATATAATTAAATAAAGGTTAAAAAATATTACTCGACAAATATTAATTATAATGGACATCAGTAAAATCATTGCATAAATTATTTAAGGAAAAAATCTTTAAGATCATATTTGGATAGTAAATGTAAATATGCAAGCATTTAATGCATATAGTAAAAAATTTCCAAATAAAGTATGCATTAAATGTGTGTTGACTTTTCTTGCTACTGTTTTTGGTAAATAGGTTGGCTTTTAATATAGATATATAGATATAGATATAGATTGGCCAAATATTTGGAATGCATATTAGAGCATCTACAATGCATTGGGTCTAGTCTTGTCTATGTGGCATGTAAATAAATCAAAGTCTTTGACGACATGGATAAAATTATGTAAATTTGCTAAAATCCACTCCATTGCAAAGAGACTAGGTCTCTACTTGGGACTAAAATAGACTTAAGAGTAGATCGAGTCTCTTTTTCGGGCTGCCACGTCAGCAGGACCCAGTCTACTTTTTTTGCATTGGAGAATATATTTTTTTAGACTAGGTCTATTTCTTCGGTGGCATACAATTTTTTGTTATTGAACTCAAAATATTGTGGATGCTCATGGATGTATGATGGAAAAATTATTTATGGCAACTTTCCAAGCCAATTTTGTTTCCAATTTTTTTGTCCGAACCTAAATGCAATGCATGATATTGTGATGTACGATTTCAAATCGTGTGAGTCTGCCACTTTGACTCAGCACGTTTTTAATATATAGGGGAAATTTAGTACTAGACATACACAGTTGCAATAAAAGTGATATTAATCGTATTATGTATGTGGGAGTTGATAATATATAACATTCATGTTAGTGTTTAGCCAAGCAAAGCCCATTTGCGACCCAACTCATGCCGTATCATATTATTGAATGGGCCTAGCGTTCGAACTAATGCCCAGACACATCTATTTGAGAGAGTTTGATGTTAGAAAGCCCGCACACATCTATCTATCTATATATATTAGAGATTACACCCCTTACTATCAAATATAAATTATATTACACTTATACATTCATTATAATTTTATTTATAAAATTAGTAAACCAAACCAAAAATATTACAGTTATACCTAAGGTGGGAACCAATATATGTAACCGTCTGTTAATTGGGTCAATATATCCTCTCTCTCTCTCTCCCCAAAACTACCTCACCGTCCCACGTTCACCACTCTCTGCAAAAAAAACCTCTCCTTCAATAGCCAAGACAAAACTTCTCCGATCTACTAAAAAAAATTAT